CAGGGAAGGGATGGATAGGGGGGGAGGGGAGTCGGGGGAGGTTGCCATGGTTGGGGAGGAAGTCTTCGCACTATTTTGTTACTTTGTATCATAATAAATCTCAAAGTGTTTTATGACTTTTCAGGAAATGATGTCATCACTGGGACCGGGGGACTGGGCGAGCGCCTACTGAGGAGGAAGGTGGAGGTCTGAGGACAGACGGTGACTACAGCCAACGCTTGGAATTCGGACTGTTTACAGATCGCACTCTCCGTCCAATCACAGCAATCGGGTAAAACATTTACATTTTACAGGTGACAGGAAGCCATCGCTGCGTAAAGGAAAACCAATATTGGCTGACAAGTCCGCGTCTAGTTTTAGTAGATGTAACACTCTGTCCTTGTTCAAGCACTTCCTCTTATAGGGTGACAACGCTCTGTCCTTGTTCAGGCACTTCCTGTTATAGGGTGACAACACTGTCCTTGTTCGGGCACTTCCTGTTTATAGGGTGACAACGCTCTGTCCATCTCCCAGTTGTTCTCCTGCGTAGTCACCCTGTCACATGGGTGTCCGATGGAGACTTCAAGTGGCTTCACCTTCATTTCAGCCACTGTTGTCACCATCAGGAAACCCACCCTTAGAAATGCCACGCAGCAATCGATAAAGTGCATGTAGACAGGAGATGGCTGCTAAGAGGCTGCAGAAGATCAACAGCACTGAGATCCCACAAAGGTACTTCCTGCTAAAGGATGACAATGCTCTTTCCCTGTCTCCCAATCGAGCTCCTGCGTTTTCGCCGTGTCACATGGGTTTCAAATGGAGACTACAAGTACCTTTTTTCAATGCACATTAGGCAAACCAGCCCCAGGGAAACGCCATGCAGCCATTGCTGGAGGGTCTGTAGATGGGAAGTGGCAACGAAAAGGCCGCAGGAGATCAGCAGCTCCAAGATGTATATAAGGTGGCAGTGTGTGTCTGGTAGAGAAGGAGGAAGCAGTGCTGGGTCAGTATTCTGGTATTCTGCATTGCGCTGTATAATCTATTGCTGGGATTTGTAGTCCTCTATAGCCGGTGCCAGTCTGCATTGATTGCTGTATAATTTTCCATGTCACTATATTGCACGCCACACTATTATTACTTCCTCCGCTCCCAGCTCGCTCCTGTGATGGACAACAGTCTCATTACAAACAAGGAGTCCATCATTGGAGCCGGCTTTTTTTTTTTAAATCCGATTAATCGAACTGAATAATCGGCTAACTAATCGATTCTGAAAATAATCGTTAGCTGCGACCCTAATTTATAGCGATCTCCACGTCCTGGTCACACGGAGCCGGTTCCTCATCCTCCCTGTGATCTCGTGTCGTTTTTAGTTCTGGTTCCATCTCATAGTCATGGATCGTCACGTGTTAGAAAGGTTCAGATTCTGCAGGTTATGGATTGTGGATCAGATTATGGATCTATAGATTCGGATCAGACCATGGATCAGATTATGGATTATGGATCAGACTATGGATCAGACTATGGATCAGACTATGGATCAGACTATGGAGCCGATTATGGATCAGATTATGGTTCTTTAGACTCGGATCAGATTATGGATCTATAGCTTTGGATCAGACTATGGATCTATAGACTTGGATCAGATTATGGATCACATTATGGATCTATAGACTCGGATCAGATTATGGATCACATTATGGATCTATAGACTCGGATCAGATTATGGATCAGATTATGGATCTATAGACTTGGATCAGACTATGGATCAGATTATGGATCAGTAGACCTGGCATTGAGTTGGCCTTCTCATATATGATCCAGATGCTGTTTCCTGAGTCCTCATAATCTTTTCAAGAGTCCCTCTGGGCTAAAAAGGTTGAGAAAGGCTGATCTTGGGGGAGGGGGAGTACAATTCTGGCACTCGGATCAGATTATGGATCTTTAGACTATGGATCAGATTATGGATCTATAGCTTTGGATCAAACTATGGATCTATAGACTTGGATCAGACTATGGATCAGATTATGGATCTATAGCTTTGGATCACTCTATGGATCTATAGACTTGGATCAGATTATGGATCACATTATGGATCTAAAGACTCGGATCAGATTATGGATCAGACTATGGATCTATAGACTTGGATCAGATTATGGATCACATTATGGATCTATAGATTTGCATCAGACTATGGATCAGATTATGGATCTATAGACTTGGATCAGACTATGGATCAGATTATGGATCTATAGACATGGATCAGATTATGGATCTATAGACTTGGATCAGACTATGGATCAGATTATGGATCTATAGACTTGGATCAGATTATGGAGCTATAGACTTGGATCAGACTATGGATCTATAGACATGGATCAGACTATGGATCTATAGACATGGGTCAGACTATGGATCAGATTATGGATCTGTAGACTTAGATCAGATTTTGGATCAGTAGATTTGGATCAGATTATGGATCAGTAGACCTGGCATTGAGTTGGCCTTCTCATATATGATCCAGATGCTGTTTCCTGAGTCCTCATAATCTTTTCAAGAGTCCCTCTGGGGTAAAAAGGTTGAGAAAGGCTGATCTTGGGGGAGGGGGGAGTACAATTCTGGCCCTTTTCCTTGCACACTGAGGGACGTGTCTCCTGTATGTTTAGTATGTTACATGTGATGTTTTTATATATGGAGTTACCAGTAGTGAAGGTCTCTCTCTTCTCATAATGCTCATGGAAGGGGCGGTGAGCTTCAGAGATAAATCTGTCGTTTCTTCTGGGGCTTTTTACAGAATATTTGCACTGCGCAGCCAAAGAGGTTTCAGAAAACATATAAAACATGTTTAATACCTGAGCTGGTTCAATGACCTGGGAGAAGCGGTCAATGTACAAGGCTTTGTATCCGGCGCTGCTGAGACCGGCAGGACGGGTCTGACACAAAGTGATAACACGGGGAGCCATGTGTCAAAGGCTTATGGTTAAGAATCTCGGTGCCACCTCCTAAATTCAAAAACATTGTGGCCAACCTCGCCCTTCCCCCGTGCACAAATCCAGCTCCATACAGACATGGTGAGACCAGGTTGGTGGAGGAACTCGAGTGTCCTTCACAGAGCCCCGACCTCAACCCTACTGAACACCTTTGGATCTTCTCCTCCAGAATCAGTACCTGACCTTACAAAATGCTCTTTTGGTTCAATGGCCATAAATTTCCACAGACACGTTCCAAAAACTTGCGGAAAGCCATCCCAGAGGAGTAGAGGAAGGCTTAGACTAACTCCATATTATTGTCCATGGGTTTGGAATGAGATGTCCAACAAACTCTCCTCGGTGCGTTGGTCAGGTACCATCAAACCTTCAGCCATATTTGGGGGTTTTCTTGTAGATGAGACTAATCTGGTAATATAAAGCCATCGGGAGGGTCACATTGAGCTTCCATGTGGCCTGTACATCTCCAGAGTGCCCCCCGGGGTTCAGGGGTTCAGATGGATTTTGAGTTGTCTCACTTTTATGGACTTGATATGGTCTGGTCCTCCAGGTCCTCCTGGCTCTTCTCTCAATGTTCTCTCCTCGCCTCGTAGGCTTCACTCTCAGGAGTTTATCATTCACCTCTGCGCTGTGTGTGTCATCACCTAACTGACCCACTGCAATAAACAGAGCTTCTGACAGTCAGAGTTTGACAAACTGGCCAGAAGACAATACAATTCAGACTGATCATCTACGTGTATAATGTGACAACCAATCAGAAGACAAAGAGAAAAGGTCCTACTCATGGACGGAGGCTGTGTACACACTACAGCCTCATGATGGTGACAACAGTGGACCGTGACTGCGTAATGTGCATTGAAATGGCCACTCGTAGTCTCCATCAGAAGCCCATGTAACCCGGTGACAATTCAGGAGAACAATTGGGCAAAGTCTCTTTGTACTCAGCACCTTAAGGAGAGGTTCAGTAGAACATAGACAACAAACACATAATAAAAGGTTTATTCCAAGATGGTTCCGGTCAGAAATCTCTGGACAAGTTCACATTTTATAACCTGCTGGGAATTGACGGTCTGTATTGTTTGTGCCCAGATCCGGACTCTGCACCTCCGCCAAGATGGACCTCCTGGTGATGGTACCACCAGCACCCGACTTTACTTCATCATTCATCGCACAAACCCGACATCTGCTCCATGGATGGAGTGTTCTGAGTGCAACCCACATATTGGTAAGGTTCTGGAAGTCCGGGTTCTCAAATCTTTGATCAGAACTTTCCACCAAGTATAGAATTCTGGATGGGGGGAGGAGAGAGAAGAGAGAGAGGGAGGGCAGAGAGCAGGGGGAAGAGAGAGGAGCGAGAGAAGAGGGGGGGGGGGGGGGAGAGAAGAGAGAGGGAGGAGAAGAGAGAGAGCGGGGAAGAGAGAGGAGCGAGAGAAGAGGGGGGGGGGGGGGGAGAGAAGAGAGAGGGAGGAGAAGAGAGAGAGCGGGGAAGAGAGAGGAGCGAGAGAAGAGGGGGGGGGGGGGGGAGAGAAGAGAGAGGGAGGAGAAGAGAGAGAGCGGGGAAGAGAGAGGAGCGAGAGAAGAGGGGGGGGGGGGGGGAGAGAAGAGAGAGGGAGGAGAAGAGAGAGAGCGGGGAAGAGAGAGGAGCGAGAGAAGAGGGGGGGGGGGGGGGAGAGAAGAGAGAGGGAGGAGAAGAGAGAGAGCGGGGAAGAGAGAGGAGCGAGAGAAGAGGGGGGGGGGGGGGGAGAGAAGAGAGAGGGAGGAGAAGAGAGAGAGCGGGGAAGAGAGAGGAGCGAGAGAAGAGGGGGGGGGGGGGGGAGAGAAGAGAGAGGGAGGGGAGGAGAGAGAAGAGAGAGAGAGGGAGGGCAGAGGGGGAAGAGAGAGGGGCGAGAGAAGAGGGGGGAAGAGAGAGGAGAGGGGAGAGAAGGGTGGAGAGAGAGAAAACAAGCAACAAAATAAATGTTAAAAATGATTCTGAGTCCTCGTGAATCTTCTTTCTATAGACAGTTAAATGAGATAAAAAGAAAGAACATATCATCTCTTCTTCTTTCAGTTGCTGTGTGTGGGATGTACCACCGTCCAGTCTGCGGGGGCCCCAGGTAATCATGACCAGTAGAAACCCGCTCCTTTTATAAATCTCTCTGACTCCGTCATGACAAGCCCCTCCCCCTCATAGTTCTCCTTTAAATAAAGAATTCAGAATGCAATCACTTTGTGTGCGAGGAAACTGGAGAGAAAACACACGCAGGATATTTCCCCGCACACGATTGGATGCTGGAAGTCGGCACAGCGTTCACCTCATTCGCTAAGCCGAGTGAATTCTATAATATTGGAAAGTGAATGTTTACTCGGCTGAGTGAATGAGGTGAATCTCTGCTGACTTCAGCCGTCCAATCACGTGCAAGCAAACATTTTCCTTACATGTGATTGGACACAAAGTGATTCCGTTCATTATTGTATCTTTTAATTCTTTTATTGAACACATTCGGATACTTTGTATCTCCCCATTCCCTACGATGAGTGACAATTCCCTCTGAATGTGAACATGTTCTACTCCTTTAGTAAATCCTGGTGGTGACTCTGAAGTGAAACGGATCCCTATCGCCCCCTGCTGGCTGCGTATCAAAATACAAAGAAAGTAATAAAATAAAATGTAACATTAACAGGATGATAAAAAGATGAATAAACAGTTATTTTTGGACCCGACCTTCCACAGATCTGTATTTATAGGATCACATACATTCCAAAGCCATTCTTTACCTCCAATTAAAATAAATCAGTACTGGACAGAGATGGTGGCTCAGCGATGACACAAGTATGTACATCCCAGTGTCTGTGCAGATCTTGGCTGTGTTCTCAAATGTCTGAAACAGATCAGCCCCTTGCTGCAGCCTCTCACCTTGTGACTGGATACAAAGTTACAATGTTGCAGCCTGATCACTGGGGGAGGGGAGACTGAGGAAATGCTTCCTCCTGCCTGCAGCCAGGGCCGGATTTACTCTCTCTGCTGCCCACATGGGCCCCCTACCCACCCCCATGGGGAATGGCAGACCTGCAGGCTGCATACAAGTGAACTTGGCAACATTGCCGGGATCACTTGTACAAAACAAGTGGCGGCTTCCCCGCTGTACATTTAGCTCTGCTTGCCCAAAGCCGGGCTAAGTGTAGAAAACAACTACCCGCCCGGCGCACGGAACTGCATGCCCCGGTAATAGGGAGAGAGGAATTCCACCCCCCTGCCGCCCCTCTACTCCCTGCTGCCCAGAGGCCGGGCCTTGGTTGGCCTTGTGGGAAATCCGGTCCTGCGTGCAGCAGACCGATCACTGGGGGAGGGGAGACTGAGGAAATGCTTCCTCCTGCCTGCAGCAGACTGATCACTGGGGGAGGGGAGACTGAGGAAATGCTTCCTCCTGCCTGCAGCAGACTGATCACTGGGGGGAGGGGACACTGAGGAAATGCTTCCCCCTGCCTGCAGCAGACCAATCACTGGGGGAGGGGAGACTGATGACATCATCTCAGCCTAGGTAAAGTCACTGACTGGAGCTCAGGGACGGCTTTGTAATGATAAGAGGCGGAGCTTGTCTGTGCAATGATCCTGCTGCTGTACATTGGGACACGTTGGGAGCGTATGTATGCAGATTGTGAAGTTCGCATTCCGCTCCGTGTTGCTAATTTGTTTTTTCCTCCCCCCTCCTCTCGCAGTGTCCACCTATCTGTATAGCTCGGTCCAGCTGCCGTGCTCCTTCCCTTTCGTACGAGGACCGGAAGGCCTGACGGTGGTTTGGGAGAAAGTGGGGAACGGCGGAAGGAAATTGCTGGTCCACAAGTTCACGGACGGCGAAGACCATCTCGGTGACCAGGACCCGCAGTTCAGAAACCGCACGGAACTCTCCAAGGACTTCGCACTGGGGAACCTGAACCTCAGGCTGAGGGGGGTGACCTTCGAGGACGAGGGGACGTACATCTGCAAGGCGGCCCATACGAAGGGTGACGGAGACCTGACCCTGGACCTGGCGATCAGCGGTATAAACGCACAATGCGGGAGATTTACACAACTGACCACAACTGACCATTGCTTCTCTTCCCAATTCCCATACATGCCGACTGTGCCGGATTTGCCGGAAATTTGCATTGCACTCGGTGATGTGCGGCTTGGATGCCGCTGCTCGGCCATGGAAACCCATTCCATGGAGCTCTCTATGCACTGTTGTTGTGCCCATCTGACGGCCGCATGGAGTTTGGAGGTCTGTAGCTATTGGCTCTGCAGACAGTTGGCGACTTCTTCCCGCTGTGCGCTTCAGCATGCGCTGACCCCGCTCTGTCATGTGACGTGGCCGACCACTTCCTGGCTGAGTTGCTGTTGTTCCCAGTTGCTTCCACTTTGTTATAATCCCAGTAACAGGCGACCGCGGCGGAATATTTAGTAGCCGGGAAATGTCACAGAACACCTGAATCCAATGATATGGAGGGGGAGGGGCCAATACTTTTGGCAATATAGTGTACATTGTATCTCTTTAGGGCCGGCGTTGCTTCAGGGATTTTTCCAACCCCAATGCCAATTATTTCAACTGCAACTTTTTTTTTTTTTTTTAGGCTTAAATGTCACCAAACCCACCATTACCTTTACCTACGTGAGTGGGGATCAATACCTGCTCTGCCTGAGCTCTGGGATGTTCCAGGATCTGAAAGTCAGCTGGTACGATAGGCAGAAAAGAGACTTATCCATGAGAGCAAATTAAACCTTCAGTGACCTCGGGGAAGGAAGGGAGATGGTGAAATCCGTCTTGAAAATGGACCTGGCGCCGAACTTGGACTACTTCTGCCAGATCCGGGAAGGGAGGCTGAACAGAAGCGTCCGCGCTGTGATATCAGGTATGGACTCTGGATCTTAGAGAAGTGGTAAGAGCTTGGATGAGGTAAGTGAAAATTCCATGGGGGGGGGGGACCAGAAGTTGGGCTTTTGGATAAGTGTTACTTTCTGATCAGCAGTACAGGAAGTGAAGGGAAAGCAGAGATTGGGGACGGGAATGTAAATCTGCTCAGGCTGCGACCTCTTCTCAAGGGTGTGAGCTGGAGCGAGGCTACTGACACCCTTGGCATGTCCTGGGATAGGAGGAGACGTAGAGATGGTACCTGTGTCACTGGACACATTCATACGGGGAGTTTATTTGGTGATTTCTGGATCCGTGTGGATTCGGCTCTCATGGTTGTTACTTTGTGTTGCAGATGGAAGTACACCAATCTATCTTCAAGATGCTCCAAGCTCCGCCACCTGGATCTCGGCCTGGAAGATGATCCCGGGGCTCCTCGCCTGCACCGCCTTCAGGATCTGGATTGTGTAACCATTGACTAGATATTTCACAATGTCTGCAGGTTTTATACAGACTATCAGTGCTCCTGGATCTGCAGACACAGACCTGACACCCAACTGTCAGGAGCTACCTGGGCTGGACGTTGGAAGAGCGGACTTCATTGTTCTTTCCTGTCAGGGTGGAGATAGGTTTGAGGCCAATTGTTGGCTTGATTTGTGGGAGGAGTCCTGCACATTTAAAGCCCCCCCCCCCCATTTCACCTACTCACCTGTTGGGATGTTCGTGTCAATCAGCCCTCCCTTACCCCTTCCAGGACAACTTACTCTGAGTATGCCCCCTTATTTGCATAGTGACCATGTCACACCTCAGGTCAAGTTTAGGTAGGGTCATCATCTTCATTTACAGGTACGTATCAGTGTGGCTCTGACTACAAATGGAGGTTACTGCACATGGATGGTGGTAGGGTACAACCATCCTCAGCCTCATATCTGTGACCGGTTTGTGGAAAACCGTTTGACTCCTGAGAGGTCATTCTTCAGAATGTGTTTCTTCTTGAGAGGTTCTTTGAGGGCTTCAGACAGACCGAGGTCAGAGAATGAGAGAAATCAGTGATGGCCTCCTTGTTATAACCTCATGGAGGAGTATTTCTGGCAGCAGAGTTCATCTCAGTGCCGCCATTTCTTCTCACTGGAAACACTACAGAAGAGGACGACCCACCTAGGAATCTGTTGGACCTTACTGAACCCTTTCAGGAATCTCCTCGTGAAAACTGTCCTCCTTCCAACCTTTCTAAAATGTTCCTTCCTTCCTTTCATAGCGGAAATCACAGGGTATCCCCATCATTAGATACAGCAGTTCGCCGCTGAGCCTGGACCAGCCATCAGTGAAGCCACTGGTGACCAAAGCCACCATTAGAATTGGACATTCTTGGCCTTCACCTGGCTGAGAATATTGATGTTCTGTGTATACATGTATATGAGGTGACTGTATTCCTGCTGATGATGGGAAGTTGGGAACAATACAAATGTGTCCAATGAGGGTTCAGGTAAAAGTCACCTATTTGCTTGTCCCGCCTCTATACACAGACCTACTGTGCCTGATGGTAAAGTGTAAGTCGGGCCCATTGAGTCCTAGATGGACCTCAGAACATGGAGATCTCATACACATCTTCTGGAGATGCCCAAAACCGACCCGATACTGGCTCAGAGCGTTTGATATTATTAACAACCCCATTATTCCCCTGAGCCCAAGATGGGACTCCTGAGGAGCTTCCTTCTGATGACCCCCTTATCATAAAGCAACGCAGCTGAGAGAGAGGCCTCAACTCTCTTCTCTGACCCCTTCTAACGTCACAGTGTATCCAAATGCAGCAAAACAAAAGCCAATATGGCAGCTCCCAGCTGATTCTTTCTACACAGGTATTTGGTTACATGTCACTTAGAGGATCCACCCCGTGGCCTCCTCAGTAGGTGGAGAAGCTCCATTTGTGGCTTCCTTGTGGCAGTTGTGGTGAATGTCCCAACCACAAGGTGCATGCATCTCCTGACTGATGGTTAGGGGTCCCTGCTCAATTCAAAATTTTGAAGAGGTCCTGTACCATATACTGGTTTGTTGATGCAGTTCCATTTTTTGTCAGGAATTTTCTTTTGTCTTTCCCCTTATTGGAACCTCTATTAGATGCTCAATGGATATTCGAATGTATTTTCTCCATGTAATACCCCATCAGGGCACCAGATGGCACCGAGGAGCATATAAAATTAAAATAGTTCCTATGATCCTTTAGCACCGTCTGGTGGCCACATTGGGGTATTACACTGCAAATATATATACGGTATGTGTCTTGTATACAATACTGTGTATTGCTCCGTGTCTCATAATCCATTATTATAGTTTCTTCTTATAAAATTCTGTTCCATTTCCATCTCAGTGCTGCTGATCTCCTGCATCCTCCTAGCACCCACTGCCTGTCTACATGCACTTTCTCCTGCACATCATGGCTCTGGATCAGTTTCCTGATAGTAACAACGGTGAACCGCGTCTGAGCAATCTCTGTCAGCACGACTGCTTGTAGATTCCTCTAGAGGAGGTTATGTGAACGGGCGACAATTAGGGTTGCCACCTATCCGGGATTGACCCGTACAGTCCAGTTGTTGAGACCTGTGTCCAGGTTTCGGGCCAGCTGACACCCGGACACAAGACGCCAAGTGCCGGCACTTTAGATTTTTTGCCAGATGCAGCTGCCTGAGGTCCCGTGCTTGCTGGGGCTCTTCCTGTGAGCCGCAGGTGCCTGTAAACATCTCTGTCTTCCTGACACCATGCTGCCCGCCTCTGGATCCCTGGTGAGACACCACACAGCCCCGCAGAGCACTCCTGAGAGCCTGCATAGCCCTCCTGAGAGCCCGCATGGCCCACCTGAGAGCCCGCATGGTTCACCTGAGAGCCCGCATGGCCCACCTGAGAGCCCGCATGGTTCACCTGAGAGCCCGCATACGCCCCCCTGAGAGCCCGCATGGCCCACCTGAGAGTCTGCATAGCCCATCTGAGAGCCCGCATAGCCCACCTGAAAATTGCTGCATGCAGCACTAGAGTGTTCAGGTTTCACTTGAAGACAAGATGGCAACCCTAGCGACAATGTGATTTTTTGCACTGTAAGTTTTGTATATTATAGTATATTTCTGTATCGGTGAGTATTCTCGCAGCAGCAGCAGCAGCGTGTCACCGCCATTTATATTCTCTTTCTGTTACATTGTTTCACGATGTCCTGTATGGTGATATTGTTTCCATCATCGGATTCTATTGTACATCGTAATGTATCGAATATTATATCATATTATATCTAATATCCGGCTTGTTATAGTTTTATCTACTTTTACAAATGTCATTAAAAGTATTAAAACAGAAAAAAAAAAAGTGAGTGTGTGTTGTACCGGCGGGGACATGATGGGGGGGTGTCACATGACTGGAAGCCGTCCCATGTTCTGAGACCGGTGACCTCTCAGTACGCGGCACACGTTTCATAGTACATAACAAACACATGTTCTCTCTTGTTGTAATGAAGAATACATAGATATGATCGTCCTCTGCGATCTTTGGGCTCCTGGTTACAGAGCGCGGACAAGGTAACAGTTAAACGATTATCTCCGGTCCTCAGGGAGCTGGAGGAGGAGATTTCAGAAGGTGAATTATTCCCGGGAGAGCAAATCTGAGAGATGAGAGCAAAACACAACATGTGACAAATGTATGGTGACGATACAAGTGCCATCAGAGGAGGGGGAGGAGCTGTGTAATATCTCCAGGTAAGCCAACCAACCCCCATATACCTGGGCCTACCAACCCCCACATATACCTGGATCTACCAACCCCCCATATACCTGGACCTACCAACCCAAATATACATGAACCTTCCAAGCCCTAGATATCTGGATCTACCAACCCCCATATACCTGGACCTACCAACCCCCATATACCTGGACCTACCAACCCCCCATTTACCTGGATCTACCAACCCCCATATACCTGGACCTACCAACCCCCATATACCTGGACCTACCAACCCCCATATACCTGGACCTACCAA